TCCCTATGGAGTCACTCGCCCTAACTCAGGATGTTGTTGCTGCTGAAACTACACAATGAATCCTTCTGCAGTTGGAATTTCAGATGCAATAATCCCTTACGGAGTGTTGTCTAATTATTTTATTATGCATAATAAATGTAAAATATTTATTTTAGTTTACATAATTATATTAAATATGCATGCTATTTATCCTGAGTCTTGTAAGACATCCTTCACAAGTGATGTATTTTTCAGAAAGGTGCATTTATGGAATTAATGCTGTTTTGCTGGTCTGGCTGTTTATTTTGTAAAGCTTGTAAAAAGTCTCTTATCTATTACCATAGAACATTTTGTCAATCCTCTGGATGCTGCCTTCCATTTTTTCCTGAGTACTGTGTGTAAAATGAAGAGTGGATTGTAAACTGTTCAGTGGGGCCCCAGAGGAATAAATGTCGTTTTCTTTAATTAAAGAACAGTGGTGACATACAGTAAGTTAATGTTAAACCTGTCATGAGATCTCATGGTCACAGTAAGTTATGGCAATGTGTGGTAAACACATCGTAAGACTAATCCTACATTTCTCATGCACTCTAAATTCCCATAGACTTCAATGGTGTGCTAGAAAAGCAGGATCAGGCCTTATATGATCAATGACAAATTAACATAAATCTGTTTTGTACTAAGATGTACATGTTCTTCTACAGTGAATGGATACTATTATATGTCTAAGAAAGGGTGATAGTTATATGAAACAGTAAGTTCTAATGGGCTCAGACATAAGCCAAATGGTTCAAATCTGGATAACCACAAGTAGGCTCCCAAATCTACATTTAGGCATAAAAGTGGCTTGATTTTCAAAAATGCTGAGCACCCGCAGCTCCCATTGATTTTACTGGGATTTGTGGGATCCCAGCACTTCTGAAAATCAGGGCATTAATATTTAGGTGCCTAAATATGGGGCCTTACTTTACGCAGGTTTGAAAAGTTTGGACTTAGGAAATAAAATCCACACTATTCAAAGTTTACGGACATAGACCCGTTTCAGCAAGTTCCAGGACTCCTTATTTTTCACTGTGCCACATAGAAAATGCAAATAATATTTTTGTCAGTAGAACTCCAATGTCATACAATTAAAAAAGTTTAGCCACATAACACTTCTCTCTTAAATGACATAGAAATCTAGGATAACGATTGCAGAAGTAATAGAGGAAGAGGGCCCTATGAGACCAATTCTGTACTATAAAATTATGGTGAACATTAATTAAGAATGAATAACTTTTTTGTATAATGGAGTATATTGATTTAATAATGGAAAAGACATATTGTGATTTGAGATCATAAATGCAGAGAAAAGCATATATATTTACATTTAAATAGACTGAAGGAGTCATTGGCTAAATTAATAGTTCAAACTTGAAAAATATATCCAGGCTGAAAAGACCAATTATATCTCTTTTTTGAAACACATCCAAAGGAGAATTGTTCATATTTTAAGATTTTTTCTTATTTCATAAATAATAATTATTCACACTATTGCCAGATACATAAAATTAGAAGATAATTTCTTTGCCACTGAGGTAATGTATTTTTGCATTATGAATTTAGAAGTCTAAAAGTAAATATCACAAGGTCAAAATGCAAATGACTCCAAATGTAAGATAACATACTGCACAATTTTGGAGCTACAGTCATAAACATAGCTTATATAAACAAATCAATCAAGTATATACAATTCAATGCAACACTTGTTTTCTTTTTGGGAATATAGATTTCATTATGAATTATATAATTTGTGTGATAAAATTCTGAAAGTAGTTTATTATTCACTTGGGCACACCACAGTCATTCAAGCCTTTCCCTAGTTAAGGAAGGAATTTCCCTGCTGACTGTGAGTTATTGAGAATATTTTCTCCTTTCTATTCTATTCAGCCCAAACCAATCTTTTCCCCTAGATGTCTTATAGTCTATTCCACTTTAGTCTCTGTTGCTAATAAAAAAGACAAGCGATATGTGCTTATACAGTTGCAAAACAATCCACATTTTAATCACAACAGTTTCTAAATTCATATTTATTCTTTTATTAGCATCTTTTCATCCTAAAGCTTCTCAAACTGCCTTACAGAAGATGAGCTCTGTTGAGATTAAAACCTGGTGTCTTTCACCAGCAGAAGTTGGTCCAATAAAAGATATTACCTCACCCAGCTTGTCTCTTATGGAATGCATGCAGAGATCATGTAATTCACCTCTGAAAGCAGATGTAAAAGAGTGCAAGCAACACTATATTTCTACACACAAACTAAAGAATACTCCTCTCGTTGAAATGAAAGTGATTACAATTAAAAAGTCTGCATTTGCCAAGAGTTACCACAAAACAGTATTTAAGGTAGTCCAGCAACGACCTAACCACTTGTTCTGGGGGAACTTAGAGTAGACTGGCAGTATACAATTACCAATATGAGAGTTTGAGCAGAACACATGAAGGTTAACATGTTTACAACTGCAAAAAGTTCTCTAATGCCTACAAATAGTTACAGCCTCAATTTCCTGTTCTTCCAAAGGGTGGCACCTACAATAACACATGCTGAGGTGTTGGTTTACAATTGAAGAGCACCACATGAGTCCCAGCACAGGAGTGAGAAAACGAAGAGGAGGGCAATATGTTAGCCACTTTAAAAAAAAAAAGGAAAGGAAAGGAAAGGAAAGAGGAAGATGGAGTGGGGAAAACATAGTTGCCAACAACCTTGGCTATTATCCCAGGACTGTGGAAGCTGGCAGGCAGATATAGAGATGCTGAACTCTAGGCACAGCGGTCCCACTCCTGGCTCCTTAGCAGCTTTGCAGGGTGCCTCTCTGCCTCTCAGCTGCAGCAGCAACAGCTCTAATTTCTGCATCACTGCCAGCACTCATAAGGAATCTCCTGCTGGACAAGGAGTTGGTCTCCTTGGCCCAGAAGGGAGCCGTGACAGAGGAGCTCTGAGATACTATAGTCATGGGACAATTATTTCCAAATAAACAAGGAAGTGGGGGCTGCCAGAGGGTTTTCTATGCACTCTGATGAATTTTAGGTTATTTTCTTTGTTCTGTCTCTTCTCTAAGAAAATAACTACAATCACACTAGAATACTTATAAAAACCTTCTATGTCCTGGGATCTCTAGAGTATTTGGAAAATTGTCCCTGGCCAGCAGTTTAGCCTCATTCACTACACATCTTATCGGACACAATATTTAAGACACCATGGCACCTTTCCCAAACCTGAAGTAGAGCTCTGTGTAGCTTGAAAACTTGTTTCTTTTACCAACAGAAGTTGATCCAATAAAAGATGTTACCTCATCTAACTTGTCTAGGACCAACACAGCTACAACAACACTGCAATCAATATGTAAGATATGCATTTTGTGTCATGAGCAGTGAAAAAGGTAAAGCTCTAGAGGAGCTGTCCATTCGTTCACTGTGCACCCAGGGCCCAATCCCGCAAACTCTTACATGAGCAACGAGAAGCACTCCCATTCACTGGTGATTTCAAATGAGTCTCATTAGATCACCAAAACGTTTCTCTTATTTCCCAGTTGAGGCCTACTCCTCTGAGTAGGGACTACTCATGAGAGTGAAGGTTTGCAAGATGAGGCCCCTTTTAAGGTGCATTGGGAATGGGACAGCATTTCTCAGGAGTCTTTACATCTTGCTTTATTCACTGCAATCCTTGTAAGTCCTCACCTTCTATGTGCCTCTTTGAAGGTGAACAGTCAGTGATGTAGAGCCCAACACAAACCCTGCCTTCACTGCCTGATCCAAAGCTCATTGAAGTCATTGGAAAGACTCCAATTTACTTCAATGGTGCCCTCAGTTTGCACTTGTAAGGCAGAAACTGTATAGCTCCTAATGCATGCAGTACAGGAGCTTCCTAGTATCTACTTCATGCAGCGTGGGACAGGGCACTCTGGAAGTGTCTAACCTTTATTATATTTTTTCTTTTTTAAACACTAGGAAATTCCATTAAAAAAAGCTTTGTTAAAAGAACATTATGGTTGTATGCTTAGCGCTCACAAGTCAAGAAATGCTGCAGAATTGCACTCACAAGTTTAATGTTCCTCTTGTGTATATGCACTGAGATAACTTTTAATGACATGATCACATACCCTTTCCCAAATATATTATCCATTTCTAAAACTTTGTAAGTTAATTCTCGTAAGCTGCATGTGAATGATTTTTGTGCACTCTTTGTATAGCATACACAGAATAGTACACAATGCTATAAGATGTCAAAAATCCAAAAATACAATCAAAGAGAAAGCATATATTACACTGCATTTGAAAAATAGTATATGACCATTTCATTAAGAACTGCATTGTAATGTATATAAGGCTTATGCGGTCGAGTTAAGCTTGCACAAATAACCTTAATTTATCTCTTTTCTTGACTTTTGCGTGCTTAACAATGCAGCCATAATATTGTCAAAACAGGATGGCTTTTAGGGCAGTATCTTATGAGACTTTGCCACGCAGAATGCTCTTCTTCCAACCTTGCCCGATCAACTAGCCTGGCAAGAAGAAAAAACAGTAGCAGAAACTTTAACTTTAACTAACTCCAGTTGCTTCCATTTTTAATATGTGTTTGATGGGTGCTCAGGCTGCTAAGCCTTTTGGGGCAGCTTTTCTTTCTTGGTGGAATGGCTGCAACTCAACCGAGAAAATTTTCAAAAGCAGAGTTGATTTGAAAAGGCAATGCAGATAAGTAGTCACACCATGGAGAATTCTAATAGACAGCAGAGCAGCTGTGAAACCAACACTCTGTATTACCATTATAGTGTTACCACTAAAAAGTTTCCCATCATTTGTTTTTCTTTCTAAAATAATATCTCAATACTATGAGACTAATTTTTAAGTTACCTCCTAATTTAATATGCGATTACTGCTGAACTGATGGAATTTTAATGGCAATATATTTTCACTGGTGACTTCAAATGAACTTCATAAGATTACCTTAACTTCTTTCATCACTTTATTATTAATGACTTGTTACCTGTAATCACACCAGGGACATCTGTAGGGTTTTTCACCAGTATGGACACGCTTATGTCGTGTCAGATGTGACTGTGTTGTGGAAGCGAAATTACACTCATCACATCTGAATGGTTTCTCTCCTGAAAGAGGACAAGAAAATACAGGCATTAATCATTTTAACAGATAGAAAACTCCCTGAGCCAGATTTTCAGTTCACATGCAGCACAAGAGCAAATACAATCTGCAGTTTCAAATATAACAAACCTCTTCTTAATTACAAAATACTCGTGCAGTAACTCTCATTACAAGTTATCTACCTTACTTGCTGGTTGCTTCCTCATGTGGCACTAGAGCAGCCTGCCTGCCAGGGAGGAGGAAATACTGCACTGGGCTCAGATGTGAAGCCCTTCTTCCTCCTTCCTGAAAGCGCACTACTAACAAGGGAGTCAGTATAGCGCTGCTTTATTGAACTCATCAATGCAACTTTCATCATGAAAAAGAGAGATAAGAAGGGATGGGGAACCAAAGGAGACAAGGAAAAGAATAGCAAAATTATCAGCCTCATTTTATAGCTGGACTAACTAAGAAAAGTTAAGTCACTCAGTCATTGGAGTCAGTGCTAGAGCATGGGATTCTCTAGTTTTCAATCCTTTGCTTCATCCACAAGACTACTCCATGCTACCCAGTTTCTCTTAGTGGGTAGAGGTCACACTGGCTGCTAAGATGCTAGCAGCTGACATGAAGAGATCTTAGCGCAGTTATCAGCAGCAGCCTAAGCAGCTCTGCGCACCACAACTGTGAACCAATTTGGGATGCACTTTAACACTGACGGACCTACAGCCATGGTTAGGAAAAATCAGTGATGAATTTTCAAGTCTAGGGATCAGTTCACATTGTTCTTCATTTTTAAGGATTCCTTCTCAAAACAAAGAATAAAAAACATAACACACACAAAATCACTATTTTAAAATAACATTATTAAGGTGGAATGGCCAAGCATTCAAAAGTTAGGAACTGCCAGAATTAACGTTGCATTAATGTTGCAGAATTAATGTGCATGCATTATGAAAGTCTTTAATTACATGATCACATGCCATTATTTCCATAGGACCCCAGCCTCATATACTGTACAAAATAGCAGTGCTCTCTTAATGAGCAGGTATTCAATATTTTGTTTTATTCTGGGCCCCTCGACCTTATTTACTGCACACTATTCAAACTCTGAAGACAGATTGATTAATTTCCTTGTGGGCTTTTCTGTGGTGCTCATCATTATAGTGAGTGCTTCACAAACATCAATTATCTTCACAAAACCTCTGTGAAACAAGGGGTTGGGGGTATTAATTCCATTTGGATGGGGAACTGAGGCACAGAGAGACTAAAGTAAAAAGTTTCCACTAATTTTGGGTGCCCAAGTTGAGACAACTAAGACCTGATTTTTTTTTCAGAGTACTTAGCATTATACAGCAATTTAATTCCCACTGACTTCAGATGCAGCTGTGACTTCTGCTAATCAGGGTCTGAAACTGAACACCTATAAAATGAGGAATACGCAATTAGTAAGCATCTCTGAAAAGCTGGGTTTAAGCGACTTGCCCAGCATCACAAAGGAACTCTGTGGCACTGTCAGAGATAGAATCCAATTCTCCAGGGTAGCATTTGACTGTCTTAATAATGAGACCATTCTTTCTCTTTGTGTAATCCTCTGCCTCTTTCATAATACACCTGGAGCTAGAGCAGGCTGGAAAACGAAAATCCCTTCTTGTGAAAAATTTTGCTTTTTTGAATTGTTTTTTGTCACAAACCATGATGAAAAGGCAAAAAATCAAATGCCCTGTATCTCCGGCCCTGCAGTTGGGGGAGCAGGCTGGAAGCTACTGAGGCAGAGTCATGGCACTCAGCCCCACCAGCTCTCCTGGAAAGTTTTTGTCAGTTTCACTTTCCACCAGGCAGTTTCTTGCCCAGGCAGTTTTAGTCTCTCCCACCCAGGATCACTGTCCTGGTCCCAATTTACACCCAGACTCCCAGTCTCTCTCTTTCTCCTCCCTTCCCCCATCCCCTTGCCCAACCAGTCCCAGCCAATGTGTTTCCCCTTCCCCCGACCTCCAATTGCCCTCCCACCCACATTGCCTGTCCCTGTGGGCTCCCAGTTCCAATCTCCCTCCCCAGGCTCTCCATCCAATCAAAGTCTCCTCTCCCACTGGCTCCATATCTCAGTCTCTATGCCCTGCTTCTTCCAGTTCCCCTCCCACACCAACATTCCTCTTCAGATATGTCTCCCGTCCTCTCTCACCTCGTTCCCCCCTACTCAGACCCAAACTGCTTCCAAGCCAGGTGCAGTCTCCCTCTTACCCCACCTCCCAGACCCAGTTTCCCTCTCCCCACACCACCAGCCTGCAATCCCAATCTCCCCCAGAAGGCTCCTTGTCCCATTCCTACTCCCTGGTTGCCTGCTTACCCCACATCCAGCAGATCGGGCTCTTGTCCTTTCTGAATTCATATCAAGTAGCTTCTCCCTTCCTACTGCCTGGGCCCAGTCGGGGGTGGGGGAGTCACTAAGAGCACAGAAGAAACAGGCTCCCTGCTCTCCGTTCCAACCGTACCTGGCACAGCCTGCAGCAGCCCAGGCCTTCAATTGCAGAGAAAGTCCTGCTCAGCTCCAGGCTGGAGCATGCCCAGTGTGGATGGAATCTTTGGGGGAATTTCATTACTAAAATCTAAGAAGTCTCTACTGAGCATGTGCAAATGGCAATGTTTTCTAAGGTTTATAACTTGGCCAGATTTGGTCAGATTTTCATTGGGATAGCGAGAGGAACATCCCCTAACATAAAGGCCACCTTCTGCCAAATATCAAGTGCCTGCTCCAAAGCAGGGAGTGCAAAAAATGTTCAAACGAAAGGATGCCAGAATTTTTTTAATGTGGACAAAGCAACATATTTTTTTCCTAGCCTCATTCTCAGAAACAACTAAACTGTTTTGGCTGCAATCTTAAAAAACTAGCCTGAGGCAGACACCTGGCATGGAAAATTTCAACTCAAACAGTTGAGGTTTGGCAAAGTTATAAGCAACTGAAAACAGGGTCTTAAAATGGGAAGTGTTAGACAATATTAGTAATAGACTGTCATACCAGCCCCACATATATTTCCCAAATGAAAGATGGGATTAATTCTCATATTTCTAACTAGCCAAACCAGGAGAAGCCCAGACTGTAGGCCTCTTAGGCTATGAAAGACCGCTCTAGAGAAAGAAGATGGGAAACCTGCATGGGGATTGGGGAAAAGCAGGCAAAGGAGAGATAGCTTCAAGACTTAGAACAATTGCTTCAGCTACAATTTTTCAGCTCCTGTTCCTTGGCCAGGGGAGTGAGGGAAACCCAGGATTGTGCCGGACAGATTGGGACTGCTGGCAAATATGCCTTTCCTGCTCCAAACGAGACTTTCCTGACAGATACCCAATCTCTTCTTCTCTGAAGAAAGTGATTCTTCCAACTGTTTGACTGACAGTGGCTTCTTTTCCAATTAAACTCTCTGGGATACTTAGCACTATTTTAACAACCTATTCTTGAACTGAAAATCCTGTGCCAACTCCTGGTTTGTTTTCTCTTAGAGGATTAAAGAAGATAGTAATATTTCTGAAACCTAAGTAACACAGCTCAAGTATTATAGAGAAGGGTCTTCCTTCCTTCCTTTTAGCAGTTTTCATTTAATATACATTTGAACCTTATTAAATTGCACCTTTGTAAACTGGAAACCAGCATATCTGCACTGAAAATGATTTTCTGGTTTGCAGTCCATTTCAACACATATCAGGAAAGTTCTGCTGCTATGCTGAGGCAGAGCCAGTGAGGCTGACAGATCAGTGATGTTCCACTGTAGCTAGTAGAGTTTGGAAATTCCATCATGACCAAAAGAAAAATGAATAATCCTCACCCACCGCATGAGGAAGTTTCTCCTTAGGAAATCCTTGTGGCTAAGTGTCCCTGTCAGACAGAGTATGTGTAAATTTCACTTGACAGAAAATATATCACAGCAACACAAAACAAAAGGCCAAATGAACTGGGGAAAACTGACTGCCTAACATTCTGAGTAGCTCTTAAAGGCTGCACCAAGGGGAAAAATATTTATGTATGAAACCAAGTCAATAAGAAAACTTTTTGGTTCACTTGATAGATAAGCTTGTCTCAACCAAAACCAGAACATCCCATGCTAAAGTGATAGGGAGACAAAAAGAAGCCCAAATTGCTTTTTCCACAGCCCGGGCCAAGGAAGAAGTACTGCTGGTACCTCCCAACCATTCCCCCCATGCTTGGTCCAACAGCTTCTGCTGCGTCTTCAATAACTTTCCCTCCTAACTGCTTGGTCCCTTCCTCATCCCTCTCCCCACAACTGCTTCCACTCTCCTCCTGATATCTAATATTCCAACTCCCAATCCGTGCTCCCCTCAAGTGCCTATGCCTGTTCTCACACACCTCCAGGTCAGTTTCCACTATCTCCATATTGCTTACTCCATTTCATATCTGTCCTTCATACCTCCGCAACAGCTCTAAACTTTGCAGCACAATTCCCTGTTTGCTGTGGCGGAATACAGGGAATGAACATCTACCGAGTTCCTGGGGGTGGGCGGGCGCAAGCAAATTAGGGGGAAGAGTGAATAAACCCAGGACTCAAATAATTTCGGGGGACAACTAATAAAAAAAAACAGGAACAGGAGTGAGGTCAGAGGGCCACAAACAAGGAACTGGAAGGAGACACCAAGCAGACAACGCTGGACTGTGCCACTGCTCCTCAAAGGTGTGTAGGGAGCCAGTGGACACAGCCTAGAGGAACTTTGCCTGGATGCGTGATCGTAGGGAGGAACAGAAATGGTCCCACAGTCGTAGAGCACTTCCCCATCCAGCATCCTCCTCCTGGTTTTACAGATGGACACTTTGACTAGCGCCAGGAGGAGGTTGACGAGGAGGTCTCGTGACTTTGTGGGGCGATGGATAGGATGTGACTAAATCAGGAGATGCAGGGGGAAGTGCGGCCAGACCCTGGGAGAAGGTTCTGGAGGAGCCTGAAAAGGGGATGCAACCTGGAACACTTGAGATAGATGTTCGCCAAGGTCTCCCTCATCCTACAGAAGGGGCAGCTATTGGGGA